GTTTACTACTATTTTTATTTTATTTTAGTCTATTTGTTTAGGTTTTGTATTTTAGTTCTTTAAACTTAACAATATAAATTCAAGAATGTTGATATTATTTTAATATAAGATAAACTTTCTAAACACGTGTATCAATGTTCGATTTACGAATGGCAGTGTTCCAATTTAGATTTAAATGGATTATGGAACTTGTAGGATATCGATAGCTCCTGACGAAGCTGTAATAGCAAAGCATGATATGATTATTATGATATTATTCCTTAAATCACAGCTTTCATAGTATCATTCCTAATGTTTCCTCACACCTTCAGAAAAACATTACCAAAATGTTTCATGTTACGATACCAAGCAATTTGCATAAAGATCTTAAGAATCTATTTTAACTTCTTTCTTTTCTAACTGTTGTAGTGCGGGAAATCAATGCAAACCGAGAAGTCTGTCAAATCGGTTGCAAAGCAATTTCGTATTCACTGTTATAATTTGTCCTTTAAAAGAGGATAACATAAATTTCATTTTCGTTAATATATTAGTAATAATAATTTAGCTTCTTGAACGATAAATATCATTAATTTATTGGTCCATAAGTTATTTTGTCCAGCATATACCAGAATATTTGGAAATTATTTAATATTGTTGGACTTTCCATTGATAAAGTCGCGCTATGCACGAAATACCTCTCTACAGGATACTTTGAAATTTGCATAAAATATTTGTATTGAAGATTAGGGCGTAGTTACTTATACTTGTATTTATATACAAGCGACATTTCCGTAAAATAATACTTTCTTATTTGAAAAGGTAATTTTGTATGAAGATAGATGAAAGAACATACGTTGTTTCGTTATCATCATTGTGAGGCTGTGGCAAATTTAGCGGGCTTTCGCAAACATCAGATGATATGCGAATAATGATTTTTTAACTATCACCAACATGCTTTAACTAACAAAAATACTTTTAATTCACATATATTTTCTGTATTTCTAGAGTAATTTTGACATACACAAACTCATTTTAATGTCTAATAGATACAATTAATATTTTTATTTTACTTATTTATTGATTATATAGGACTATCATAAACGTCAAGTGTGTAACTAGTTACAGACTTAGGAAGATATTGTAAGTTTGTGACGTTAGATATCGTTGTAGTGTCAGTATTGTTGACTAAAACTTTTAATATAGGCTTAACTTCTTAAAAATTATAACATTTCAATCTTGTATGACCATTTCGCCATTTAGAAAAAAATATATATATAAAAGTTTTGAATATAAATAAAGACCTGGTTATTATAAATATATTCAAAGACAATATTAATAAAATGTAAGATTACCGAGTTGTGAAATTTGGTTAGGCCCAGTGTAAATATCGTTATTTACCAATATTTCGATAATGTTTTCTAACTTCAAGAATAATGACACTAACTTAGTAACTATCGTTAGCGAATGTTGTAAAATGCATCAATCTTTGCCTTTGGAAATGTAATCAAGTTACTGTGTAATAAAGCTTGCTAAAGGTATGTTGTTACTACTTGTTTAAAATAAGTATTGATCGCTGTGTTTGCTACTGCTGTTGCTAGTTCCAGTAGTTGAATATATATATATTTTAAATGTAATACAACTTTCTGTCTCTAACTCAATCTGAGATATTCCCATGCAATTTATAAATATCGCATACTAGGCCGCCATACTTACTGAGAATACTAGTAGTAGTAGTATTATTAAAACTTATATATTTAGTTAGGCCTACTGTGGTACTAATAGTAATAAGAACTTCTATTAAGTTATTAAAGTTAAACAAGATAGAGTAGGCTTATTTATGCATATATTATTTGTATTGTAGGAATATTTGTCTCTAAATATTAATAAAAATATTTTATAATGTATTTACTATTTGGAAATTAGAGAGTAAAGTAAAAGTTATCTAAACCAGTAGTTTCACATTTTTGTTTATTTTTTGGTAATGTGAATTTGTGCATGCTCATTGTTAATGTTAGGTGCTAAGATAAGAAAGTTACATAGAGGATTAAAATGTATATAGTTCATTCTGCTTTGGTAGCATTCACATGCGAAAGCTGTGAGTACTTGAGTAGCACACACACATACATATATATACATTTGTACACATTAAGCAATCTTCTGTATTTGAAATATTTAGCTGTTCTCTGCCAGCTGATTCACAATTGTTTATATTTTACTTGAATGTACATGAAGTATTAAAAAAATCAAGTTATGTTACTGGAACTATAAAAATATTTTATATACATAATGATGTTATTAATTTTGTAGATAACACTAAATTCTTTCATTCTGAAACAAATGATTCTAAACGTAGGCCAACTTTGGACATCTAGCTTCACTTTACAACATTAGTTTTATTCCTGAGATGTTGATAAAATGAAATTAGATCAACCAGTTATACAGTTTTTGTTAGGTAAGTTAACTGTGTGCAAAATTGTAATTTATATGAAGGCACATTAGAGGTATGATGAAATATTAGTAAGTGTTTTAGACAAAATAGTTTTAAGTATTTTCCATATGTTTCCTTTTACCTTATCCATTACAATTTAGATCTACTGTTTTTAGGGTATGTGATGTGTAGACATTACAGTAGGTCTTCAGTCTGTGTGCATCAGGATTTGTATGTGATTGTAGATCTTAAGATGACATGCATTGTATTAATGTATGTGTGTTAGTCTCCTTGATCCAAATATTTATAATATACAAGAAAGTAGCATTTCAACCAATGAAACATTAAATATATTTTTACGTGTTAAAAAGTTTTCTATGTGAATGGACCATAGAATGTACATATAACAATTTAAATACCTTGCTTTACTTACTTTAAAATTAATATGCAGTGGCTAATACTTTGTTGTTTACTGAGTCTTATGTAGTGTATTTACTCATGTCTTTCCCATGTGTTTTTAACCTATCATTATTCATAATTATGTACATGTATGATTTAGAAAAGAAATATATTTATACATAAATATTAGCAAACCACATGCAGTTTTCCACCTATGGATACATATAACAAAACACTCCAGTCTTTGAACTCTTCTTTCTTCCCTTAAATATTTTCGACCAGTTTTATTACTTCAAAGGTCACTTTTTGGGATCTAATTTTACGGATAATCTGTACTAAAAACATCCAAATACCACTTTTCAACTAAACGTAAACAACCTGAATTAAAAAGATATTTTTTCAAAATGTACAAACAAAATACAATTAAAATTAATTAGATACATTAAAATATACTCAAAAATAAACATATTAAAGCTTACCAAATATAGTTTCCCTTCTTTTCTATTCCTTTATAATTTTTCTCTTGGTTAAAACTATATTTCAATAATACTTTTTTTTCTTGTTATTATAGAAAAGCAGTTTATTTCCATAACATTTAACAGTTTAATACAAAATATACCCTTTACTTTATTGTCCTTTTGTGATACCTAGTAAAAGTTTTTACCCTTGTGCAATTCCAGCTGAACTTACTCAGCTGCTGTTACTTCTGCCCCTTCTATTTATTTAAAGTGGCATCAAAACAAATTTATAAAATACTTTTCAAAAATTAATCTTTTTTGTCTTATATTACATTCCTAAAAAAGAAACACTAGAAAATATGGTTCTTTCAGAATTTTAAGTTTGCTCAAATCTAAAATGGAATTTATGTAAATATATCCTTAACCTTAAATCATCTGTTACACTCACATAGCATTTACCACAATTTACAAATTCTAAAAGATATATTACATTTCTGAAATTACAATTAAATGAATTATTAATGAAAAACAAAGTTACCATTATTTTTCCATTTTGTTTTTGTAGTTTTAATACAACCTAAATTACAAAGACAACAATTCTTTCTTTTGCAACTGAAAATACCTTCCTCAGAAAAATCGTCCATTTCCTTTTTTTAGGCCCAATTATTCAATGATATATATAAATTTTTATGTTGTCTTTGTGATTAAAATAATTTTATTATTTGTGAAAACATCTTTCCATTTTTTATCAACTATTTGATTTAATTGTATATTAACAAATGAAATAGCAATATGTATATATGAACAGTGATTCACTAAGAAAGGTATAATTTTCTGTTTAGGTTTACTAGTTTCTGTCTGAATGTTTATTTATTTAAAAAGCAACTTCCAAACATCATAAAATTTTTTGGATAATGACACTTGTGGCATGTAAATATTTTAAACAAAAGCATGATCCTGTAATTACTTCTTAGTTACATTGTCAGGATTTTAGTATATGAGTGGGCTGAAGATTCTTCTACAGTAGGTGTCTGTGATTTGTTGGTGATAAATTCGAACAATAAATGAACAGCACAAAATCCACTTGTTTTAAAATAATATATTCAAACATATGTACTAAAATTTTTTACACAATAGGATATTAGTTTTATCTAAAACTCTAATTAATTCTCGTTTCTTGTCAAAAGTCCACACAGGCTGATTCAATTACTTTAGAATCCAATTGACAAGGCGAATTATTTTCCTTTGTTTTCTTTTCTCACAATACAAATATGTGAATAATTCACTTACGTCACCCCGTGGATTACCACAGTTGTATCCTGAACTTTAAATAATTTGTCTCATTTTTTTTTTTTATCAAAGTCCACACAGATGGGTTCAGTTAGAACACCCTTTGACAAGACGATTATTCATTTTATCTCTATTAAACTGTGAAACTCACTTTAAAATATCAGCCATTATGGCTAATCACTTGCATGCTGGCTAATTTCATGTTTTCTTTTGCTAACTAATTTTCTTACTAAACTGCACTTTACTTGTCTTGCTCTTGCATGTTCACAGAGGCCTTGAAATTTCTCTAAACTATGCGAGCGGCACTATAATGTAACAATACTCAGTTAAGGTAATGAGAAAAGTACTGAAGAATCGAGTAACATGACATTAACAATATTAGTAAAGCCTAGACAACAAGGTAATTGCAAACACAACATATGACTCATACAGAGTTATGTAACAAAAAATTTGTTACAACTAACACTTTTAAAACAATCAATGTTCCACACTGCTGTCATGAAAATTAAACAGCTATTAAATATTATGTCACAAAAGAAACTAAATAATAACACTTTCACTAAACAGTCTTGTATATTCAACATAGATTGGAATTACCCTGAATCATGTAGTAAGTAGAAAGGTTGGAATTAAAAGTATATAATTGGCACTAAAGTGAGACATTGTTTCCTCCAGCATTTTAAAGGAGATCAGATATGTAAGCTTTTTATTTTTTGGAAACTCTATTAACAGACGGTAAGGAAGTACCTGAGGTTATGAGAGTTACTAGTATTATTCCTATTTTAAAGGGGTTTATAAAAGTTGTCCTGGAACTTATAGGCTAGCTAGTCTTACTTCTGTAGTGAGAAAATTTTAGGGAGACTGATAAAAAAAGCTTTACAAAATCATTTAGTGATATATGAAATCATAAAAAAAACATGGATATACCAAAGGGAAGTTTTGTCTTACAAGTCCATAATTTTTTCAAATATGGAAAAGGTGTGGACTTGGTGTACTTAGATTTTCAAAAAGTTTTTGATAAGGTATCATGTAAAAGGTTATCTAAGAAAATCACTTAACTAGGGGGCTAGGGAAAGATTATTTAATTCAATTGTAGGATAATTGGATGGGAAAAGGCAAGACATTATTGATGGAGTCCAGTCAGACTGGACTCTTGTTACTAGTTGAGTGTCTGAGAGGTCAGTGTTTGTTGTTTGTTTATTTAAATTAATGATATGGATATGGCATAGTTATTAAAGTTTGTTTATGATTCTAACTTCTTGGGTTTTTCAAACTGTATTGAGAATATTGAGGTATTGTAGAATCATTTGGATCTATTGGTAAGTTGGACAAGTATTTAGCAAATGACCTTTAATTATATTTGATCAAGGTAATGCATTTAGGTTATCATAACTTGGATTGTCCCTTTAATGTAGATGGGAGTTCATTCAATAGCATGACTGAAGAAATAGATCTTGGAATAGGGTTAATAAACTACTAAAGCCATTAAATAATTGTTCTCTTGCTAGCACACAATTAAGCCAATACGGTTTTAGGGTGTATTTATAGACATACTGATTACAAGTCAAGAGGTAATTATCTCTCTGTACAAGCCACTATTTAGGCCTCATTTCGAATACTGTGTACAGTTTTGGTCTTCTTTTCTAAGAATATTTATTGACCTATTGGAAAGGGTTTAGAGGAGAGTTACTTGGATGATCCCAGGGTTGAACTTGTTATTGTATGGGTATAGGTAAAGAACTTACAACTTATTTTCTTGAGAAAAGAAGAGCAAGAAGAGACTTTATTAAAGTTTTCAGTAAGATTATTCAGGAGATTTCTTTGTGATATATTCTGAAGATGATAAGATGTGAGAACACTAGTTTAAGATTTGGGAAAGATAGGCTGGTCTCCATCTAAGACAGTTATATTTTTCTAACAGGGTGAATGGCTTGTGGTACCAGTTGCTGTCAGCAGTAGTGGAGGCCAGAACTTCACAGGAATTTTAGAGGAAAATCAACGATCGCCTGAAAAAATAAAGCATGAGCTTAAATGTGTTTCTCAATGGTAAGTATGTAAGGACAGCTTTGAAGTACCAAGTAGTTCTTTAAATTAACATAATGTATGTTATAAATTCCTATTAAAATTATCAATTTAGGGAAGGCATAACTTAAGTAACCTTCCTGTTCTTTATAGCTATTCTCGTTCAGTGCAGCCCTCTATATGCAAAAATTTGTTTTTGCATGCCATAAGCCTTGAGCTCCCACACATCTTACAATCAACTGATTCAAACATGTCTCGCATGTAAGTCATCATGCGACAGCCCTCCACCAATAAGAGTGCAACATAGTCTCTTGACAAGTGACTCCCTCTGTTTGATTCTAACGAACCATCATTTCCCATTTGGTAGTACTCATATCAACTTGTTGTGCTCTTTGAATTTGTTCAACTTCACAGTTGTTGTTTTTTTGTTGTTGTTATTCCAAGGTGATTTTTTCTTTGCTTTTCAACAGTTAATGACTTTTCAGATAACTTTTTTTCCCAGTTTTAATTTTTTTTCATCAAACAGTTGTGTTTGGTTTTCATTTTTACATAATGAATTCCAAAGTTCAAGTTACCACTTCAGAGATAATAACTTCTACTAGTACATCACACAGGCTACTCCTGATCTTGCCCCAATTCTTCCTGAACATGTCAAACCTGTTCAGGATGATGGGGATTTTGACAGCCTTTTTTCCTCCATCTGATTTTGCTGTTTCTTCCTATGCCCGTACTGTGGAATCAGCTAGGCCTAATACAGCTTTTTTAGACATGATTTCTCAGGTATGTTCTATTTTATCCATTTCCCCAATTTTATAGGATCCCTGTCCTTCTTTGTTACATGATACCTCCTCCTCTCAGTATTTGGTTTCCTCCCTTAAATGGATATTAGGGCTCATGCTGAGCATTTTGTTTCTCAGATGGTTGAGGGTGCCAGCATGCCTCGCCCTCCATGGGCTTTGGATCAGTTTGCCTTGGCCTACCATCAGGCTAAATGTCTTTTTCTCGATTCTCAACAGTTAGAATCAATTTTGCCCATGTGGGGGCAGACTCTGTTCATCCCATGCCAAATTTTCCTGCCTTCATCTTACCCTGTCAACTCTTCTATAGTACTTGTCTACTATCCACCTCCTTTATGAGGTGATCCACAGAGATCCTGAGGGTTTGCTTTTCTCTGATTACTTCCACATTGGCACATTTGTCTTCTTTGGTTCTAGCTTTACACACATGGTTTCTATGTTGTTGGGATCTCCTGAGGAGGGATGCAACCTTGTCCCAGGTTTGTTTATTGCCTTCTTATCTCCGGGACTTATGTATGGGCCCTTTTCGTCAGTGGTATGTTTTGAATAATATTCCTGAGACTTTGGAATCCCGTGTAGAGTTGGTGCGAGAGAAAACTACCCTTTCTTCTTACCTTCAGGGGTTCCTTATCTCATCATTTTATTCGACACAGATGGGCACGTTTCCAACAGTACCAGTGACTACCTGGTGGGATCTGATCTAGTGGGGGCTCGCTTGTCTGATTTTGTTACCCTTTGCCAACTTTTTGACACAGATCTATGGGTTATTTGGGTTTTATCTCCGGGACTTGTCATCCAATTTTTTCCCCTCCTCCATTATCTGAGATACCCATTTCCTTTTAATTGCCTTGGGATACTACCACCAGTCAGCATCTGTCCGAGGAGGTACAAGATCTTCTCTCCTATCAAACCTATCAATCATCCTTCTCCAGGTTTTTTATTCCAGGCTGTTTGTCATAACCAAGGAAACTGGGACTAGCAGCCTGTGATTGATTTGTTCTGCCTCAATCAATTTTTGGTTCTACCCCAATTTACCATGAAGTCTTTTCTCACCCAAGGTAGACATCACAAGTGCTTACCTGCATATCCCAGTATCTTGTCAGTTGAGATACTATCTTTGGTTCATTCATCATGGGGTAGTTTATCAGTTTTGCGCACTGTCCTTTTGGCTTGCTTTGGCCCCATATATTCTTTGTCAGGTTGTGCATCCATCATTAAATGGATGACTGGCTTCTGTAAGCTCATTCCAAACAGGAGTCTGTCCATCACACTTATCTGCTGCTCCTAGAGGCAGCTCGTTTGAGTTGGTTAGTCAAATTGGAAAAGTCATTCCTTATACCTACCCAATATCTTGTCCATTTGAGTGTCTTTTTCATCATCTCAGTTGGGCCCAACCTTCTGATATTCAACTTCATTTGATGTAACTTTCAGTTCTCCATGCCTTTACTCTTCTCTTTCTTATAGCTCATGAGGTTCTATTACTTTTGGGTATGTGGCATTCCATGGAAGCCCTTCTCCCTTTGTGTTCTGCTTCCTCCCCCTCATCAAGATCTACATATCTTTATGGATGCATCTCTTTAGGGCTGTGGGGCATGGGTTGATTAGCAGGAAACTTTAAATCAGGGATCTCCGGCCAAAATATCCTAACATATCAACATCCAGAAGCTTCTGACTAAGTCATGCTTTGGATCATTTTCTTCATCTTGGCAGGAATTATCTGGTCATGATCCATTCTGACAATTCTACAGTGATGGCTTAACTCGAGCACCAAGGTGGCACCCATTCTTATTCCTTTTGTGGTCGGACTGTGGATCTCTTTTTTGGGGGGGGGGGGCACACACTCATTAATCGTATCATTGCGTGTCATGTTCTGGGTGCATTCAATCTTGTTGCAGTGCGTCTTTCCTGATCAAACAAAATTTATCCGATGGAGTGGTCTCTCAATCCTCTTGTTTTCCAGTGGTTATGCCTTTAGTGGGGTACTTCTCATCTGGATGCATTTGCCACATCCCTCAATACCAAATTACCTCTGTTTTGGTCTCCGGTTACTCATCCTCTTACTCTGGCTGTTGATGCTTTCAGTCAAATTGAACTAACATATACCTGTATGTTTATCCTCCCATCCATCTTCTTCACAGGGTGATCTCAATCATCCATACACTCTGTGTCAAGTCCTTCTGATTGCTCCTTACTGGCTGGCACAACCACGGTTCCTGTGGTTGCTCCAGCTCCAATCTGCCCCTCTGCTATTTCTTCCTTTTACTCCATCCTTTCTACATCAACTTCAGTCACTGATGATTCATCGGGCCCTTCATATCTTCCATCTTTACACCTGCTTTTTATCTGGTCCTTGGCAAGGAAATTGGTTTGTTCCAGCAGGTCACTTCTTTTTTAGCTTGTTTCATTTGCATTTCCTGAAGGGATGTAGGTGGAATGTTTTCTGCTGTTGGTCCTTGAATCAGGGGTTTTCACCTGCTAGACCCACTGTTCCTCATATTACGGATTTTGTCACTTGGCTCTTTGATCAAGGGTCTTCTGTCTCCTCGATTGAGGGTTATCAGGCTGTCTTATCCCACATTTTTAATTTTTCCCAGTTTCTTAACATTTTTACCTCTCTTACCCTTTCCCTCTTGTTGTATTCCTTCTGGATTTGTCGTCCACCTTGGTATGCTGTCCTTCTGGATTGGGATGTTAATGTGGTTCTTCATTGCCTCACTTTGCCTCTGTTTGAACTGCTGTTCTCATGCTCAATTATTCACATATCCCTTAAGACTTATTTCCTTCTCCTCTTAACCTGTGGATGTCATAGGTTGGATTTATTTACCATCAATGTTTCACATACTCTGTATCATTCCACATATATTTTCTTTTATCTGGATAGATCTTTCCTTCCCAAACCTTCAATGACTTGGGAGGGTAATTCCTCCCTCTTACCAATTTTCCTTCCTTTCATTTCCCACCTTTATCCTTGGTCAGATCTGGATAGGCTACTATGTCCTGTTCATACTTTTCATTGTTATGTTGTCCTTCTGTGGTGCCTGTTCCCACCTATTAATTCCTTGGCAGACATCCTCTGTACATGAACTTTCTCCTTCCACCCTGAACAATTGGGTTCAGCTTTTAAATCGATTGGTTTATTCTTCCTTATTGTATTCTTCCCATAATTTATTCCAGGTGTCTTCTCATCAGATCAGGCACCTTACCTTTTCCCTGGCATCTCATCTCTGTCGTCCCTTGGAGGAAATTCTTCAGTTGTGCATATGGATTACTCCACATACTTTCATATCTCACTATCTGCATTGTTTTGCTGTATCTTCATCTTCAGGTTATTGTCTTCTGCTTTTAGCCAGTCTTCATACTTCGGTGACACTGTGACTCAGCAAGTTATCGTATATATATATTATTTTTTTTTTTTTTTTCACGGACTTTTCCCTTTTCTTTTATTTCTACTGTCTGGATCTCGCTCTGTTGCGAGTGGTGCCTGACCAGGTATGCTTCTCATGGTCAAATCTGCACTGTCAGGCCATGTTGACTGCTTATTTCTAATTTCCATGGCCATGAAATGCTCACTGTTGAGATGGGAATTCCACAAGATCGCTTGTAGGTTTGTCCTCATTTGCTTCATTAATATGCCCATTCCAGACTATAGTCACCTGTGGATTTCAGGGGTAAAGCAGAAGGGGATACCTACCATGCATTAGATTAAATAAATCAGGTATGGTTTGCTTTTCAAAATAGAGGTTTTGTGGTCCCCCGTTGCACTGACTCTGGATTTTCCACCCCATTTTCTCTATCCTTTTTTTTCCAGTGGAGTATGGGAATCCTTACCACTTTCTAGTTCCAAGCCACTGGGGTGGTAGACCATGGAGGCATCCTCCTGAATGTGTTAACGATAAACTATACATATAATGATCAAACCATTCAGTTGAGAGTAGGGTGGTGGGGTTCTGCTAGTGTATATGATGAGCTGTCCTCCAATCTGATGCTACATCTGTGTACAGGGTTATCCAAGGGGATGTAACTTTGAAATAACTGTTAAAATTGCAGTTCACCCCTTCGATTGGTATCCCTCATCCTTATTTTTGATCCCTTAATTTTTGTGGAATTATTTTTTTTTATTCCCAATTTTCACAACGTGAATTCTCAATTCAATGTCATCACAATGACTTCAGTAGTGATTTCTGCCACGGTTAAACAATCTACTACTACAATGGCTTTGGGCTCTAC